GTAATAAACATCGACCAAGTTGAGAGCACTGTACATTGAAAATCCCACCATATTGTTTTGAAGAACATCCTTTCTCGTAATTGGTGTCTGAGCCGGGATGGTGGCCGCATTGAGCTTTTTGTAAGCATGAACAATGCGCCACTTCCCATTGGGATTTTTGACACAGAAGGTCGGTGTGGAATGGGGAGATTTGATCTCACGTACCATTCCTGGAGCGTACTTTGCACGAAAGAATTCGTCAATGACGTCATACAGTTCCTTCGGTAAAGGCCACTGCAGTGTAACGCAGTATTTAGTTCCAGTAACCAAGTCAATTTTATGACGTACACCTCTATCGGGAGGTAAGACGGACGGTGGTTTTTGACACATCACGTCCTGGAACTCCTATACCAAAGGGTAAAACGATTCCATAGGATCCTTAAGGATCGAAAATCCAGTACGCGCACCAAGTGTCGCTCTTGTGTCCTCAATGACAGACTCTTCCAATAACGAGGGTCAGTTCAACTCAACATCATGTCAAATGACTACTAAATTGGATAACTATCCTGCCTTCAAGACTTGGCAGAAGTCGCCTTCAGACGTTTTATCTAGCTTAAAGAAGTTATCCAATGATGGAATAGTCTTGAGACTAATGTTGCCATCAACATGGTCAGTCACTTCATTGACAAGTGTATATAGTGTATAATTACTATGGTCACTTTGTGACTTCTTAGAAGTTAGGCGGTTAACAGTTGCCACCCGACGCTGAGATTGTTTCCATAAAGAAACCTTACTCCTCCTAGAGGCCAAGACCCCCAAGTAGGGTCCCCGTGGTTGCTATTTATCTTAGCACGCTCTATACGAGAGCTCATGTCTTGAACAACATCTGGTGAAGAGTTACGTAACTTGAACACTTCACCCAGTGGATTTACACGTACCACTTCACGTACAGCATCCGGGCCTAGCCCTGAACACTCTGGCTTCTCGCCAACAATGTCATCACCGACATTTAGTGACGTGCCATCTCGGCCGCCCTCACTCGGTGGAATTTCACGTGACATCCCACTCACATCAGAAAAATTACATTCTTGATGTCTCGGCCCTAGTCCAACCATACCTGTAGCATGCAGTGAATCAGTATCGCAACGAGTACCACTCAACGGAGTATAACTCTCTTCACATACAATAAAAGATCTACGCTAAATATTGGTGTCATTGAAATTGAAGTTAATTGACTCTGACATACCAATGTTCAGCGCATTGACATCTGCCGTCAATGGCTCATGAAAATAACGCTTTTGTTGCCTAGCGAATGTGGGTTCATGACTCTCCAAAGCTTCGCTAAGAATATCGCGCGTGGCGCCTAAGTTATTGGACCTCCAATCAATCAATGGCTCATGGCGTTCAAGCCAAGCCGTACCTACGATGTAGATCGTACCTCGAATCCAAATCGAGGACAAGACAGCGTTCAATGCTGTCAAAGTCCAAAAACTTCACACCTAAGTTCAACGGAACTTTAGGCACCGTGACGCGACTACCAGTCTCTAAACGAACAGTAGTCGAATCACCTTTATGATCTTTGAGCGCTTCAGCATATCGCTGACCTTCCTCGAGGGAACGACGTCGAGTATAATTGCACGCTGCTTCATAGTCGATTAGGATCGACCAATGCTTCTCAAAGCCTTGAACTTTCGCCTCGGCGATTAACAATTCAGGCTTGTATCCACGCTCTGTGTTGGCTGGCACAGAGCTGGCTGTAACAGAGCTGGCTGGCACAGAGCTGGCTGGCATAGAGCTCTCTGAGGCTAAGCCCTATTTTAATATACCTCGTAGAGAAGTAATAGAACTCAGTTATACCCCAGTAGGGCACCCCGCGCCTACTGGGTGTAGACGTTTCCCCAAGCCGTACCAGACTTCTGGTTGGGGCCGGGATTTTGACTCATAGGAGCCTGGTGGTGCTTGCGCAAACGACAAGTGGGACCCAAGTGTTTAGTGATTCCGCACATGTAACAGCGTCTCACTTCCTGTTGTTTCTCCGCAACTTGAAGATCAGCTTCATCTTCATCTTCAGCATGCACCAGATCCATCGGTTCAGGCTTACAGTAAGCCGAGGTGCTCGCTGAGGCTGCCCTCGCAAAGCTTGGGTTTGTACCCATTCCAATTAAGTCTGGCCGACTTAAAGTTGTGCTCGGCATTTTGAGCGATGTTCACCGCCTCTTCAAAAGTAGAGGGATGGACCCGAAAGACCTCGGTCCTGACAACGCCATTGCGAAGACCTTCCATGAAGACTGTCACGTAGACAGTCTCAGGGAGAGGGTCAGACTGCATAGCAGCCATCAGAGTTCTCAACTCCTGGACATAGTCTGTTAACTCATTCTTACCCTGAAGGGTAGACAAGAAGCATGAGCGCACGCGATAAGCCTGGTTAGGCGGCGAGAAAACTCGCAAAAGGTCTAACTTGAGCGAATCCCATGTGGGAAACGCCAATTCGACCGACGTGCCACACGTCAGAGCCCACTCTCTAGCTCTTTCATTGAGCGTGGAGATAGCCAGCGAAACCCGCTGGTACTCTAGTGAGAATAGGCCAGAGCTCATAATCATCTCAATCTCCCGGATCCAGAGGGTAAGGTTTTCCCCCTCCTTCCCGGATTAATGGTTAACGTCCACCCGAAGGGGACGAGGCTTATCCTCTTCATCTGGAATCGCCACGTAGCGTGTTGGCATAGCCAACGCTACTTGGATTTGAACCTGCCCTAACTGGGTCGTTTCATACTGCATGAAGGTCTCGACTCGTGCATTGAGCACATCTGGTCCTTGCGCCTCTAGAAACTCCACATGTTCTGGGCCCACGGCCGCGATCAGTTAATCAAGAGCGACCGTTTGGGCCCTAGAGAGGGGTCTGGATTGCTTCATCCTCACAGAGGATCAGTCTTTACCGACTCAGGCGTAGATTGACTATAAGTGCTACCAAGTGTAGCGGAGCTGCACATCTTTTTAAGTCAGAGGTCGACTATACGCTCAAAGAGCAACTTCAGGTTCAATGAATCCGACTCAGAGAGTCAAACAGCTCAGAGGGCTTAAGGTTTGGTTCAGAAAACCCGACTCAAAGAGTCAACAAGCTCAGAGAGCTTACGGTCTATGTTCCAAGGCGACCAAACGATTCAGAGAATCAAGGCACAGAGTGCACAAGGGGTAGCTGTCTTAACAAGGCGTTGCTATCGTCGCAAACGATAACAAGACACCTCAGAGAGGCACGTGTCTTAAGTGATCAAAATGGGAACTGAACTTTATTTCTCTTTTTCTAAAAGAACAACTTAGAACAGCTTAATAATCTACTCGCTAATGTCCTAAATAAAACCTCTCAAAAGATCGCGTAATCAATGGTTGACAGACATCAGACTTCAACAATTGACACGGTGCTCTAATATCACTTTAAAAGGGATCCCATACCTTGTGTGCACCACATCTATTGTCGACTACCAGTCGACGTGTAACCCCGTTACAGCAAGGCCTTCTCGAATGTCAGCATCTCAGTGTGTACGCGTTCTCTCGCGGCAAGAGACCCAGGTGTTGTGATTGTGGCGCTCGCGAAACAATCTAAAGAAATGACGCAGTCAATGATGCAGCAGCACAAAACCGCGTCTTTGTTTTGACTACTTCCAAATCACTCTTTGCTACCATCTTCTCATGGCTGCACTGATTCTGGGCTGATGCTGCATCCTTCTTTAATGCAGAATGAGCACATCTTGGTACTGAATGTAGGCGTCTGTCTTGGGTTGAGGGAAAATGAAGCAAGTGAGGTTATGAGCAAGGCCGTGGTGTCGCGACCACTGGTGCTACTTTGAAGCCTTGTAGACTCCAACATACTATATCCACAACTTAGTCGTATCGTTCGTTCTACGCGCTGATTGATAGCGCATTCATTGCATACAGAAGGTGGATGATTTGTGGGGGATGTAGCATCGAAGGGGCGTCGAAGCATAGATGAAGTCCAGATACCAGTTCGCAAGCGTTAGCCTGCAATAAATTGTAAACAGTCTTGTTTATAGCCGCCCAACTAATGGCGTGACCACACAAACGAACGTCGGAGCGAATATCCACCTGAGTCAAATCCTATCATCACAGTGTACAAATCAAATCGTACATACATGCAGGAGGCACATCACGTTCAGCAATCACGACAGGATCGCCGTATCATGCATCGATTACCGAGTGTACGATTTCTTAGATCGCGCATATGCGCCTACTCATGACATCGAGTTAGGGCATTTGGTATGGACATGTCGACTTCTCTGCAAGAGTATGTATGCACCACCACGCTGTACGAACCGTGTCTTTATAAGATAAGCAAGACTATGCTCCAAAACGAATTTGGTGACTGATCACATAAGTACAAGCCGTCAACATATAATTTGGCGAAGAGAACGTTTTACAGTGAGTCGATGCAATGTACAAATACGAACTGAATGAAATGGCAAGTTTTTTTCAGTAAGGCCGCGGCGTGCACGCTTTAATCCTCCCTTTTTCTTCCATAGCGCCTTATTCAATGACTGACGAAGTAATGAGTTTGACACTATATACCGACTAGACGGGTCCATTTGATCAGGGCAAAGCATCTGTCTACCTGAAGCAATCATTTCGCATAATACGAGTCATACCCGACTTTCGCCATGTCAATGACGCCAATTTGCACTTCCGTATAAACTTGAGAAGGATGGGTCAAGTGTTGAAGCTAATTGCATTGATGAACGCATGTCATCACATTTAACGACATGCACCGCACAGCGACCGATGATGATCCCAAATGTGTTGCTATCATGATCGTAAGTATGTTTCTTGCTCTGTTGAAAAGCCAAATTAGTGCCGCTTCCTGCAAAAGTGGCTGTAAAATAGCTGTAAAATACAGCGCCTTTCATCGAAGGCGTTTCAAAGCACACTATTCATTCAGGCAAAGTTTTGTCTCTCGTATTTCTGTATCAACACTTTGAGCCGCTACCTATCACTTTTCGCAGATTTCGACAATGCGTCGCGTCGTTGGCGCTCGATGCGCGACGACGTTCGGTCACCGCAGCGCGTTGCTAAGGCGCCACGTGAACACGGCACGCCCCCAATCTCCTCGCGGCACCGGTGCGACTTGTTGCTCTCTCGCTTTCTCATTGCAATGACTCAGTAGCTTAACCCAATATCTGTTGGCAGAACTCGAGTGGATGAAACAGCGCGACCCGTACTGCAACGTGAGCGAGTCCATAGCGGCCAAGATTGGCCTAAGCTTGCACCGCCAGCAGCACCACCCGCTCCACATCATCAAGACGAAGATCGAGAGCTACTTTCACGAGCTGCACTGGAGTGAGGGGTACATTGCACTGCATCTATCGTTTGCACTAAACATGTCCGCAGGTGTTATTTGCTGATCAAAGTTCTGATCGCTTGTAACTACTACAGGGGCCCTGTCTTTAGTGTGTTTGACAATCTGGACCCGGTCGTGACAACCTACGACTGCTTTGACTCGATGCTGGTGCCCGAAGACCACATTAGCCGCAAGAACACCGACACGTACTATGTCGATCAGAATCGCGTGCTGCGAGCACACACGAGTGCGCATGAAGTGGCGATGATGAAAAAGGGTTTCACGTCGTTTCTAGTCTCGGGTGACGTCTTGACAAACCCGGCCCGTGGATTGCAGAGGGGCTCGAGTCTAATGTAGTGAAATGGAGAATGAATATATTGAGGAGGAGTGTTAAACTTGGTAGGCTAGTCTGGTGTCATCATATCCAGTCTGGCGCAATCTTCTTTCGTCTGGCGCAATCTTCTTTCGTCTGGCGCAATCCAAGGATGGTCTCGCAGGTCATATCGATAGACAACCCATGTCATACTCCCCCCATGATCTGTGAGATTTAGCACGGAAAAATGCGGCGGATGCTCACACGTTCTGCCATTGCTCCCTTGTCGATGGTCACAGTGCCGTTGCTGTGAACTTGGCGGATAACAAAAGGTCCGGTTGCCACTGCGTGCAATTTTGCACGGAACTTCTTGGGGACGCGTAACATCACGTGGTCTCCCGTATTGTAGAAATGCTCGAGGCGTTTGCTATTCTCGCGGTCATTGTCGGCGAGAATTGCATCAAAACGACGCTTCGATAGATAGCTCCAGTTGGCGTTATAAAGCTGACGAGTGATCATATCTTGACCGAAGAATAGTTGACCTGGGGAAGCATTAAGAATGCTGTGGTAGCTTGCTCGCACGGCGAATGCAGCGTAGTGAATGGTTTTCTTCCAGTCAGCGCCATCGTGGCACCTGATGACATTTAAAATCTCGAGGTGAACGCGTTCACAAATAGCGTTAGCTTGAGGGTTCTTGCTTGTTATAGGCTTGGCTTGTATCCCGTAGCTGCGGAGCAATTCTTGAAACTCGTCACCAGTGAATTCCGTTCCTAGGTCGTGTATAACCGTTACAGGACGCGGGTAGCGGCACAGCCATTCACGATCGAAGCTTTCGGCTGTGGTCAGCGAAGTTTTGTCGTGCTGAATACCCACTTCCAGCCAACGCGTCGCATGGTCAATCATGGTAATACCGTAGTGTCCGTCTTCGTAGGGACCAATGAGATCGACATGAACGGTGTCAAAGGGGTTCACCGTCTTGAGTGTTCGTGGTGGTAGTAATCCATAGTCCTGCTTGCCTCCGTGGACCTTTGCCTTCTTGCAAGTTAGACAATCTTTCGCATTCTTGGTGATCGCGGCTTCCATTCCGGGCCAGTAGAGAACCTGCCTCATTGTCTTGTACTGTCGTTCACCGCCAGGGTGACTGAGCGTTAAGTGATACCAACGAATGAGATCTTCTCGCAAGCTATCGGGCACGATGACGCGCTTGTAATACGCGACCAGCGTGCAGCCGAGTAGAGGTAGAAGCTGATAGTCAGGATTGTTGTTGCCGTTGAGGCAAGCTGTCTTGATTTTTTGAATCATCAAGTCCTTATCTTGATGTTCGCGAAGAACCGGACCATGCATGACACAATCTGGTTCATCAGCGGTAGCGCATATCTCGTCCGCGAGCTGCAAATGAGTCTTCGTGTTAATCGCATCGAATCTCATCCGGGAAAACGCATCAGCACCAACATTCTTGGTTCCCTTGATGTAATGCATCGATAGCCTGTACTCAGCCAACAGGAGCTTCCAGCGCTTAACGCGCAGGCTGGTTTCGGTCGGATAAATTAGGTTCTTATGGTCGGTGTGAACAACCACAGGGAACCCGAGCAGCATGGTGCGGTATTCGCGCAGCATTTCAACGATAGAGAGTAGCTCAAGCTCCATCGTTGTGTAATTCACTTGATGCTTGTTGAGACTTCGGGAATAGCAGGCGAGAATCTTGTTCTTCTGCATAATGATGCCACCGATTTGCTTTCCGCTGGCATCGGCGTAGACGTGAAATGGTTGCTCAAAGTCAGGAAACGCGAGCAGTACGGCTTGGGCAAACGCTTTCTGGATAGCGTGAAATGCTTCCGTGTCGCTAGACAACCAGTCGAACGGGACTTTGGAGCTGGTGAATCGGTTGAGAGGTTGGCACAATGCCGTCTTGTTGGGTACCATATCTCTATAGTAATTAATCATTCCGAGGAAGCGGCGTAGTTCCTTCCTGGTTTTGGGGACGGAAATTTGTTGGATGGCTTGAATCTTCTTTTGTTGGGGCTGGATCCCTTGAGATGTCAGCGTAAAGCCGAGATAGTCGACGGACTGTCTGAGGATGTGGCACTTCTTTCCGTTGAGAGTTACCCCATACTTGGTTAGTCGCTTGAACACAATGTGTAGGTGCTCTAGGTGCGTCTCTTCACTATCGGAGTAGACGAGTATATCATCCAAATAGACTACCACAAAAGCCAGATCGCCAAAAATCTTCTCCATGCAGGCTTGGTATTCGTCCGGTGCTGTAGAAATGCCCATTGGGAGTCGCTTGTATTGATACTTCCCGAACGGAAGACAGAAAGCTGTGTGACCACGGCTTGAGGCAGCAAGGCGACGCGCGTAATACCCCATGTTAGCATCGAATGTTGACAGATACTTGGCTCCTGCGAGACGCAACAGGATCTCGCGTATACGTGGGACGTAATAAGGGCTGCGTTTCAGATATCGGTTAAGTCCGCGAAAATCTATCAGTAGACGAAGTGATCCGTTGGGCTTCTTGAGAAAAAAAGCAGGCGATGCCATTTCTGAATCAAAAATCTGCTCCAGCACGTCGATGCTGACCAAATGCTGGATGAGCTCTCGAGCCTTGTTTTCGAGGCTTCTTGGGACTGGATACGGTTTTGCGTGTACAGGCTTGTACTCCGGCACTATTGGTAGAGCGTAGTCTTCGAATCTCATCCTCCCCAAGTGACCGTCATAGAGATGCTCGTTATCACGAAGAAGCTGGAGATATTTGCCGACGAGTGGCTTGGATAGCCTGTCTGGCATGAGGTCTTCTGGTCGCACTGCAGTGTTATCGACTTCTTTGCTCTCTTCGGGGAATTCATAATCACTTGCGTTGGGAGACGATGACCCGCCGGTGTTTAAATGTGTATAGTGACCATCCCACTGAACCAGTTTGTCTTTAAAATTGAGCACGATTCCTAGTTCATTCAGGATATCACGACCGATCACCATGGCATCCTGGCTCTGATCCAGAATTTCGAACTTGTGCGTGATTATGGTCGAATTGGGAAACGCCAATTCGACCGACGTGCCACACGTCAGAGCCCACTCTCTAGCTCTTTCATTGAGCGTGGAGATAGCCAGCGAAACCCGCTGGTACTCTAGTGAGAATAGGCCAGAGCTCATAATCATCTCAATCTCCCGGATCCAGAGGGTAAGGTTTTCCCCCTCCTTCCCGGATTAATGGTTAACGTCCACCCGAAGGGGACGAGGCTTATCCTCTTCATCTGGAATCGCCACGTAGCGTGTTGGCATAGCCAACGCTACTTGGATTTGAACCTGCCCTAACTGGGTCGTTTCATACTGCATGAAGGTCTCGACTCGTGCATTGAGCACATCTGGTCCTTGCGCCTCTAGAAACTCCACATGTTCTGGGCCCACGGCCGCGATCAGTTAATCAAGAGCGACCGTTTGGGCCCTAGAGAGGGGTCTGGATTGCTTCATCCTCACAGAGGATCAGTCTTTACCGACTCAGGCGTAGATTGACTATAAGTGCTACCAAGTGTAGCGGAGCTGCACATCTTTTTAAGTCAGAGGTCGACTATACGCTCAAAGAGCAACTTCAGGTTCAATGAATCCGACTCAGAGAGTCAAACAGCTCAGAGGGCTTAAGGTTTGGTTCAGAAAACCCGACTCAAAGAGTCAACAAGCTCAGAGAGCTTACGGTCTATGTTCCAAGGCGACCAAACGATTCAGAGAATCAAGGCACAGAGTGCACAAGGGGTAGCTGTCTTAACAAGGCGTTGCTATCGTCGCAAACGATAACAAGACACCTCAGAGAGGCACGTGTCTTAAGTGATCAAAATGGGAACTGAACTTTATTTCTCTTTTTCTAAAAGAACAACTTAGAACAGCTTAATAATCTACTCGCTAATGTCCTAAATAAAACCTCTCAAAAGATCGCGTAATCAATGGTTGACAGACATCAGACTTCAACAATTGACACGGTGCTCTAATATCACTTTAAAAGGGATCCCATACCTTGTGTGCACCACATCTATTGTCGACTACCAGTCGACGTGTAACCCCGTTACAGCAAGGCCTTCTCGAATGTCAGCATCTCAGTGTGTACGCGTTCTCTCGCGGCAAGAGACCCAGGTGTTGTGATTGTGGCGCTCGCGAAACAATCTAAAGAAATGACGCAGTCAATGATGCAGCAGCACAAAACCGCGTCTTTGTTTTGACTACTTCCAAATCACTCTTTGCTACCATCTTCTCATGGCTGCACTGATTCTGGGCTGATGCTGCATCCTTCTTTAATGCAGAATGAGCACATCTTGGTACTGAATGTAGGCGTCTGTCTTGGGTTGAGGGAAAATGAAGCAAGTGAGGTTATGAGCAAGGCCGTGGTGTCGCGACCACTGGTGCTACTTTGAAGCCTTGTAGACTCCAACATACTATATCCACAACTTAGTCGTATCGTTCGTTCTACGCGCTGATTGATAGCGCATTCATTGCATACAGAAGGTGGATGATTTGTGGGGGATGTAGCATCGAAGGGGCGTCGAAGCATAGATGAAGTCCAGATACCAGTTCGCAAGCGTTAGCCTGCAATAAATTGTAAACAGTCTTGTTTATAGCCGCCCAACTAATGGCGTGACCACACAAACGAACGTCGGAGCGAATATCCACCTGAGTCAAATCCTATCATCACAGTGTACAAATCAAATCGTACATACATGCAGGAGGCACATCACGTTCAGCAATCACGACAGGATCGCCGTATCATGCATCGATTACCGAGTGTACGATTTCTTAGATCGCGCATATGCGCCTACTCATGACATCGAGTTAGGGCATTTGGTATGGACATGTCGACTTCTCTGCAAGAGTATGTATGCACCACCACGCTGTACGAACCGTGTCTTTATAAGATAAGCAAGACTATGCTCCAAAACGAATTTGGTGACTGATCACATAAGTACAAGCCGTCAACATATAATTTGGCGAAGAGAACGTTTTACAGTGAGTCGATGCAATGTACAAATACGAACTGAATGAAATGGCAAGTTTTTTTCAGTAAGGCCGCGGCGTGCACGCTTTAATCCTCCCTTTTTCTTCCATAGCGCCTTATTCAATGACTGACGAAGTAATGAGTTTGACACTATATACCGACTAGACGGGTCCATTTGATCAGGGCAAAGCATCTGTCTACCTGAAGCAATCATTTCGCATAATACGAGTCATACCCGACTTTCGCCATGTCAATGACGCCAATTTGCACTTCCGTATAAACTTGAGAAGGATGGGTCAAGTGTTGAAGCTAATTGCATTGATGAACGCATGTCATCACATTTAACGACATGCACCGCACAGCGACCGATGATGATCCCAAATGTGTTGCTATCATGATCGTAAGTATGTTTCTTGCTCTGTTGAAAAGCCAAATTAGTGCCGCTTCCTGCAAAAGTGGCTGTAAAATAGCTGTAAAATACAGCGCCTTTCATCGAAGGCGTTTCAAAGCACACTATTCATTCAGGCAAAGTTTTGTCTCTCGTATTTCTGTATCAACACTTTGAGCCGCTACCTATCACTTTTCGCAGATTTCGACAATGCGTCGCGTCGTTGGCGCTCGATGCGCGACGACGTTCGGTCACCGCAGCGCGTTGCTAAGGCGCCACGTGAACACGGCACGCCCCCAATCTCCTCGCGGCACCGGTGCGACTTGTTGCTCTCTCGCTTTCTCATTGCAATGACTCAGTAGCTTAACCCAATATCTGTTGGCAGAACTCGAGTGGATGAAACAGCGCGACCCGTACTGCAACGTGAGCGAGTCCATAGCGGCCAAGATTGGCCTAAGCTTGCACCGCCAGCAGCACCACCCGCTCCACATCATCAAGACGAAGATCGAGAGCTACTTTCACGAGCTGCACTGGAGTGAGGGGTACATTGCACTGCATCTATCGTTTGCACTAAACATGTCCGCAGGTGTTATTTGCTGATCAAAGTTCTGATCGCTTGTAACTACTACAGGGGCCCTGTCTTTAGTGTGTTTGACAATCTGGACCCGGTCGTGACAACCTACGACTGCTTTGACTCGATGCTGGTGCCCGAAGACCACATTAGCCGCAAGAACACCGACACGTACTATGTCGATCAGAATCGCGTGCTGCGAGCACACACGAGTGCGCATGAAGTGGCGATGATGAAAAAGGGTTTCACGTCGTTTCTAGTCTCGGGTGACGTCTACCGGCGCGACGAGATCGACGCGAGTCATTACCCGGTGTTCCACCAGATGGAAGGCGTGCGGATCTTTTCGGAGCTTGATCTAGCGACAGAACGTGAACATAAAGTAGTGTACGTGAAGGAGGAGCTGAAGAAAACACTGGAAGGTATGGCAAAGGAGCTGTTTGGTGATGTCGAGATGCGCTGGGTGGAAGCGTACTTTCCCTTTACCGATCCATCGTTTGAGTTGGAGATTTTCTTCAACGACAACTGGTTGGAAGTGCTTGGCTGTGGGGTCCTGCAGCAGGAGATTGTGCGTAATGCTGGACTTGGTGAAAACGTCGGCTGGGCTTTCGGACTTGGCCTTGAGCGCCTCGCTATGGTTCTGTTCGATATCCCTGATATCCGTCTGTTCTGGTCTCAAGACGATCGATTCATTTCGCAGTTTCAGGATGGCCAGATTACAAAGTTCAAGCCGTACAGCAAGTATCCGGCGTGTTTTAAGGACGTGAGCTTCTGGCATGGTGATGATTTCCATGAAAACAACTTGTGCGAAGTCGTGCGTGACGTTGCTGGCGACATGGTTGAGCAAGTACGCGCACTGATGTACTTCGAATTGATAATCAGTGTCAGCTGTTTCTAACGACTTGTATTGGTTGCCGCAGGTGGTCGTCTTGGATGAATTTACGCATCCAAAAACTCAGCGCAAGAGCAGGTGCTACCGCATCACTTACCGCCACATGGACCGCAACCTCACAAATAAAGAGGTTGATGACATTCAGGTAACGCTCGCAGAACATGATTGGGTGCAGAGAGGTGTACAGAGAACTCATCGGTGTTTGTCGTGTAGGAGATCATACGCAGCAAGATCGTGAGCGATCTAGGTGTTGAGCTGAGATAGATTGCCGCATTTTGATGCAGCTTGGGCAAAGGTGTGTGTGGGACGTTCTCTGTTAGAGCCGCGCGTTGTGGCAAGTAGAGAAGACAATAGAATCGAGAAAAATGGATAGTCGGGTCTATCTGTGATGGTGCGCACACGGGCTATGTGGGTGCTTGGTCTGGATGCTTGTCTGGTGTAAAATTGCTCTTGCGCAGCGAATTTTGAACGAATGGAGTGAGCAGGCGACGCAGAACGAAGAAAAATAGTTAGGCAAATGTGCGTTGACGCAGTTGGAGGTTGACAAGATTCTGCATTCAATCGATGTCTTCTACCTGCTGAGTATCAAAGTCATCTACACCACACATTTTGACAAGCAGCCGCTCTGCTTCCAATCCAAACGGATGACGCGATTCGACTCCGACCTATCGAATAGCAAATGCCGCGCTTTCCTACAATATAGCTTCTAACTCAGGCCGTAGCCTAGTAATTTGGCTCGTAAAAGATGGACCATACGCTTGTTGGCCAGCCGATTGTAGCAAAGAAATGGAACGGACGGCCTCAAAGGTAGAACAAGGTGGGCCCATTACGAAGATTGACGTTGAATGTAACGTGGTCACACGTCGGTTGGTAACCGACACAACATGTGTGATTTACACCAGAGATGAGATCCCATTGAAAATGATATCAGAACACCTTATCCGATGTTGGGAGCTGACGTATGTCAGCCACCAAACACAAGATCTGAAAAGGTACTTATTTTGAGCATTAGTGTATAGATTAGATACGTTTAGGCTGAGCTCTCTTTTCACATTAACTGTAACGGGGCAGCCCGTTACATGGAAGTGTCACTTTAAGGAAAGTGACAATAAATAATATGAAGTTGAATATTCTTTGTGCAATATCACCGATAATGGTGATATTGGCGAAGCGACCAAAGGGTCTGCTCATTGGTTGATATCGTGATGATATCAACCCACCAATCGCCGCAGGACGCGCGCAATGAGTGGTGACGAGACGTCACCATACACTCAGTTATATTAACATAATTAAGTCAGGTTAAACAGAGAGACAGTAGCAAAAAGACTTAATTATATTAATACAACAGTTTTACTTTTTCCTTATCGTACGCTTCCTCGTTCGCCTCGTGTACGTCTGTCGGGGCACCCAAAAACCTTGCGTTACGTTCACGCAAGGGTGTGCCCCGTTACACCTGGTAGCACTTTGTAGTCCTTCCGAGGACCACAACATCCAACATGAACATGTTGGATGATGTAGAGACCTTTCACGCCACGCGTGAAGGGTATACCCATTTGAGTGAGATCGAATAAAGTGGGGTAGAACGAATGAGTTCTACCGTAGGCGAGGTCGCCATAAGCGCCATGTTGGAGTCTCTAGACAGAGACCAACAACATGCCGCTAAAGCCAAATTCATCCAAAGTGAACTTGTCGCCAAAAGGTAAAAAAAAAGCCTTGCTGTACCAGCAAGGCTCTCAACAGGCCGAGCAGTTGAGAGAACTCGGTGCTCAACAGACAGAGCTGTTGAGACAGCAGCAATTCCATGCTGCTGTGGGCGGGACGGCGCATGCGCGTCGTCCCGAGGTCATGAAGGTTGACATCTCCAAGTACAGTGGAGTCCCGGAGGACTCCCTATTACTATGGTTTGTCGAATTCGACAGAGACTTGAAGGCACGTCGAGTCGAAGATGAGCGAATGAAACTCACATTTTCTCAGACCCACTTGGCAGGGCGTGCCAAAACTTGGTCCCTGAGACTCGATAGTAGCGACCCAAATTCGTTTAGGTTGCTAGATGACTTCAAGTCCCGGCTCACACTAACGTTTGAGCCGCCACGGGCTGAGTTCAGGTCTCGTTCAGAGCTCCTGAAAATCAAGCAGGGTAAGCGTGATGTGCACGCTTACGCACAACATATACGACTCCAAGCGAGTAGTATAACTGCTAACCCAGTTCATGAACACACGTTGATTACGGTGTTCATGCAAGGTCTCGCAGAAGGGCCCGTCAGGAGCCACCTGTTCCGCCTTGAGCCTGACACGCTTGAAGAAGCGATATCAACCGCGAAACAGAAAGACTTTAGCATGAGACAGGCTCATGCTAGCTCAAACTCTTACCGTCCACCGAGACGACAAGAGATCGGAGGTCCAGAACCAATGGACCTCTGCTATGTTGAGAGCGAGAGACCTCGCTCTTCAAACAACAAGCGATTGCAGAGGTGCAATCGCTGTCAGAAGTTAGGGCACTGCGCATACGAGTGTAGTGATCCACGCCCGTTACCAAACAGTACTATGGCAAAATGGACGACCAATTGCCAGGAAGGGCAATGGGCGTGGGTCCAGCGCTGTGCGAGGCCGCAACAGCGAGACAACCCATCATAAAATGGTCGGGGTCAGTAGGGGCGGAGCGCCCTACTGATCCAGCAACCTCAAAAGAATTTGCGAATCTCTTGACGAAAGTTGCTCCAGATACACAATCTTTGTGTGTCTCTGCACCTGGTGATGACGTTTTGCTCATCACCTTGAAGTTGGAAGCGACAAATGATTTGTCGCTTCGTGCCCTAGTAGACTGTGGGGCGTCGAACAATTTTGTTCGTCGCCAGTCACTAAAGGGTCGTAGGCTCAAGTTAGTTGAGCGCGAAATTCCCCTCACGAGGATGACGGTGCGCCTTGCAACAGGCGCATCGATAACCGTTGAGAAACGTGTAGTGGGAACTAACTACACGTTAGAGGGCGAACAGTACGATGATGAATTTATCGTACTAGATCTGGATGACAAATTGATGTCATCCTGGGATTACCTTGGCTCAGAAAGTACGAGCCAAGGGTAAGCTGGCAGCATCGATCCGTGAAGATGCCTGCCACTTGTTCATCAGATGGCCATCTGATGAACATCTTGGAGCGTCCACAAGCGTGTGGATGTTCTGCGAGTGAGCGCGATGGCATCACTTGCGGTACGGTCGTTAGCACGACTGCACAAGATCACAGTGTAGTTGATCACTACACTGTGGAGCAAGCTCCCGGCGGCTGTACAGGAGTACAGGCTGCGATGAAGGTCCACCACTCGAATAAGTCGAGTGGACCGGGACATGAATGCATGCCTTGCGGGAAGCATCTTCGACAGAAGAAACCTGTTGCCTCCAAAGGGCAACATGTAAATCCTAGATCGACTGGAGAGTCGACCGTAGAGGATCGGTCCCTGACTGTGGTTGCACAGCCACAGTTAGAAGACGTCGAGGGAATAAGTCCCCACGTACTTGAGGAAGGAATTCCTCAAGATTCACTTGCTGAAGGATTAGGCCTTCATCAACCTGTGGAAAGAAGTTCCCAGGAAGTAACCGAGACGTTGAACGTCTTGGTTAATGACGGATCAAGTGTAGGCGCTTAAACGCTTGATCTGATTGTGCCTCCGAAGTTAAATTCGGAGATAAATCAATTGCCAACGCTAGAACCGAAACGGTTCTTGCGTGATCTGCGTAGTGGCAAAGTCAAGCAGATCTGCATACTCGTCACAGAGGATGAGTATGTGGCCGATATTCGTCGGCAACAGTATTTGCTGAGAACGAACGGATTCTCAGCAACTCATCAATGGACGAAAGTGTCCTCGATGAGAAGACTCGGATTGAGCGATACACGTCTCAATACTGGGAGTCACTTCAGGCAAATCCTTTATACTAGGATTTGATCGAATTCAGGGATGTATTCCCTGTATACGTACTTTGCGAAATGCCTAAGGACAAAGGCAATCGACACGAGATCGAGCTCAAACCGGGCTCGAAGTACTGTGTCATGAAGCAGTGGCCACTGCCTCGTGAACAAGTACTAGCGATCGACAAGTTCTTTGCCGATCGCTTAGCAGCAGGCCATGTAAGGGAATTAATATCCCCTCACAGCTCTCCGACATTCTGTGTGCGAAAGGCCACAGGAGGGTGGCGTATTGTGCACGCATTCAACATATTGAATGCTGCAACGGTACCGGCTCAGACGCCGATACCGAGGAAGGACGTAATCATAGATGGTATGTCAAAGAGTACCATCTTTTCGTCCATGGATCTGATGGATGGGTTCTATCAGATCCTGATGCGTGAACGGGACGTCCCCTTCACGGCAGTGAGTCCCCCCAGCGGGATGCTGTGTGAGTGGCTAGTTATGCCACAGGGGCTGAGCAATGCCCCTGCAACATTCAACAGATGTGTCACAAATCTGTTGAGACCGGTGCAAGACTTCGCACCGAGTTACTTCGACGATGTGGTCGTCCTTAGCCAGTTTATGGACGGAAGGACGGATGTTGAAGTCCACCGAACTCACTTTCGTCAAGTCCTTTAACTTATGCCCAAGCATAAGTTGTATGCAAACCTCAAGAAGTGTATATTCGCGGCTAGCGAAGCACCACTTCTTGGGTGCATCGTGGATAAACACGGCGTACGCCCTGATCCCGAAAAGATCAAGGCGATCACCGACTGGCCAGTGGCAGTCGATGTCAAGAGACTAAGGAAGTTCCTTGGGCTAGCGGCGTACTTGCACAAGTACTCGCGCAACAACGCCGAAATGACGGTACATCTTTCTTGTTTACTCAAGAAAAATGTCAAGTGGTCTTGGAACGATAAGTTCCAGCGTTCCTTGAAGGTATCAAGCAAAATCTTAATGCAGTCGCCGATCTTGGCGATTGCAGATCAGGAGCAGACCATTTCATGTGGTCTGTGACGCCAGCGATTTTGCGATCGGCTGTGCGTTAATGCAATTTGATGCAGATGGCGCGGAGCGCGTCATCTGTTATCAGTCGCGTCAGCTGCAGGCAGCTGAGCGCCATTACCCATTGCATGACAAGGAAACCTTTGCCATGAAATATGCACTGGCTAAGTTTCGCGTCTGTCTCCTCGGAGATAGACCGTTAGTTGTCTATACGGACCATGCGTCACTACGCACGGCCGTAAACAGCCCACACCTCTCGCAGAGAATGGCGAGGTGGCTGTATTTCTTCGCGGAGTACAACTTCTCCGTGGAGTACAAGC